TATATATATATATATATAAAACGTAGTATAAATAAAAACTATAGAAATGTTATAAAACTATGGTAACAGTGCACGATGGTATGTGCGGTTGTCAATTAAATTCAAGACATTATTGAGTCATTTACGCTAAACTTTTTTTTAATTTTATTTAAGTGATTGTATGACGGTAATTATGTGCGTCACGCTCGAATATGCACTCAAATATTTTAAATAAAAATGCATGTAATGCGGCTGGCAAGTACTTTTTGCAGAGATCTTTGTACCTTCGATAGCCGATGAATCAGGCTCGTCAGTCATATCGTTATCTAAATATGTGTCAAACCAGATATGTACTTTGATATCATTGTTTACCATATATATAACTTAATGTCCAAATTTCCTCCATCTTTTTCTTAATGCATCTATATGCGATCGGCAAATTAAAAAAACAAAAAAGAAAAACAAAAAATTTACTAATAAATAAAATCATCGCGAGACATATATTGCATATGTATGATATCATAAATATTCACTACGGTATCTCACACATTTATCTATGTGCATAACAGTGCCGAAAAAAAGAATGTAAAATGTAATGCAAACTCAAATATTTAGATTTTCATTACACGAACTAATGTACTCAACTGATCATGAGATTATGCGCGTAATACATGACTCATTCGCTGGAACAGACGAGAAAAGTGAAGTAAAATTCCGTGTTGCTATTGCGTCGCTGTTACAAAACATATCTATACAAGATATTTATTTGGAAATAATATTTTTCTTGTATTTCACATCTTTCTTAACTTTCTTTAAACATATCGCTTTCTATAGAAAACATTTTATTACGTTTTTCTTGTAATATTTTAACTTTATTAATTCAATTTAATTAATATATCCTAATTCCTCAGTTTAAAATTTTATCTGTTATTGAATGAAATTGTGAGATTCTTTATGTACTTTGTTTATAGAAATGTTAATTAATAAAATATTTAATTGTATTTAAAAGATTATTTCCATATTATATAATTAATTATTTCTCAGATTATTTTTAAAAACTAATTTATAACTTAGATCCTATGTAATACATTGCGATCAGAGTGCTAATTCTGTGCATATATATAATTCTGTGCGGAACAATCTATAAAGCAAACCTTCTCTTTTGTTCTAGAAGATTATTGATGTTTGTTGTGAAATATTAACCTCAGCTATGGATCAAGTTATAACATACAACCGTTTACTCGAAACGAAATCACAACATTCGAGCATAGATCATATTATAGGAGTAGAGCAACATAATATTATAGGAGTAAATTATGTGAATATAATTTATTATTATACATATATAATTACACATTAATTGTTCACTGAATATTTAAAATATAACAAAACGTTAGTTTATATAATAACATCACTAATTATTAAATTAAGTTAATGTAAAATGTTATTCGATAACAGTCATATTAAAAAATATTATGCAAAATAACATTAAAATAAAAGATAATATAATATTTTTTTGCAATGTACATTATTTTATAAATACTTATTTATATGGTATCATTGTAGCAAATATATCATTTTACATAATGTAAAATGTATTGAAATATTTAATTTAATTTTCAATCTCAATTTTATGTTTTCTTATTTTATATATTTTATTTTATTTTATAATAGATACTTACATTTTTAGATGATTTGTTGAGGAGAATTTGTTGAAAGTTAGCGATATACGACCGACTTACACAAGACGCCGAGTAAGACTATCGTTATATCTGTGTGAAAACCGGTATATATTGGGGGGAACATCACTAAGTGGGGAGACTGAAACAGTAACGTCAAATATCTTCCTAGTTCCTTTAACCTTCCGGAATTATATTGCAGTGGGTCTACTAAATTCACAATTGTATAAAACAGTAGAAATAGAAATTATTTTACATCCATTTTGTTTAAAAAAAATCTTTATTCTAAATTTACAAGAAATAGGGAAATTATGAGAGACAAACATTATTCTATTTTATTATTAATAGAATACAATCATTTGATTTTATTATTAAATCTTAGAAAATTGAGATTTCTTCAGCTAACTTAACATACTTAATATACAGCTTAATATACTTTTATCATATATTTTTTTATATCTGTGCTTGATTTAAGCATAATCTAAAAAATTATTTGACATTTTTAATAAAGCAACAAAAATAATTTATAAATTAATGTTTAAGTTTTAAATAATGTTTCTTTAAATAAAGAAATTCGTTTCAAAAAACTATTTTTATCTTTCATATTTATAAAGTAAATACTTCTTATATTTTACATTACATCATAGTATTACATCATATTATTTGTTCGGTTACATCATATGACAGTTTGATGTACCTTACATTTAGGTTCTACATATTACAAGTACGTCTATGGTTCCATTTATGCTTCTGCGCAGTGAGATATCTCTCAACATTCATCCGTGACGTGGCGATCACATACTTGTACTCTTCTACTATAAATAATACACGTGAAAAGCGAATGAATAGTCCACAAAGTTGACCCTACGAAGAATGATAATTGGAAATAACGATGATGCTGTTTATAATGAATCTGATGCAATTTTTTAATATTGCTAATATGAGATATTCTTATAATCATGCTCGTACTCACTTTGGTCGTTTCATTAGCTCCATATTAATTCCATTAGTTCAAAAAATTTTATGTTCAAACGCGATAATATATGATTAAAAAAAGTAAAGAATTACAATCATTCATTACTAATAAACAATAATCGTATTATAACGAATATAAAAAATAGATGATTATTTCGATAATTTTATTGTTTATTCATGTTGTTCTAGATAAAATATATGCAGAAATAAATTAATTCTTTTTATTATGTCTTTAATAAATATAACAAATAAGAATAATGAAATGTAAACTAATTTCTATAAATGACAAATTTATTATATTCTTAAGATTAAACTTCTTTAAGCTTTAATAATAAAAAAATATTTTATTATAAAGTAGTACAATTTAAATATAGTAAAGAAGATGAATAGTAAAAAATTAAATTTCATCCACATGTTTATTAAAATGTATTAATTATAGTGTATTAATTAAATGTACAAAATATAAATTTGTATTGCAATTATC